TCTTTAATTTTCCTTTTATAAAACCTGCAGAATAGCATATAAATTACTTAAATACTTAACACTGATATGAATGATGCCACTGATACAGTCAGAATCTAATTCAATTGGAGTCAACATGAATTGAAAACTTGTAAATCAGAATCAAACTGAATATTAATTTTAAGGCGGTACTGTGGAACATTTTAGTTATTTTTTTATTGCATGCATAATTTTTTTTTGTTCCGTTTCATTTTCTAAGCTTTTCCTTGACAGATTTTTCCATTAACTACATTTTCATAGAAACAAAACATTTTATTTGTTATTTTCTTTCATTCTAGTCATGCAGATATCCCTAAATCATGCATCAGATTTGTTGGTGGACCGCTGGATATCGTCATCAAAGTTGGCAAAGAGGTACTTCATAGAAGTGAATGTGTTACTCATTAAATGGTAAAGGTTTTGCTTCATCTGCACAAGTTCATGGTGTGTTTTTGTCCCCCAGATCCATACTACAGGAGAGGAGGAGAGTCTGAAGGTGGTTCAGTCTTACAATGATCTGAGCAAGAAGCTCTGGCAGTTAAAGGGTCTGCCACTGTCTATCACATCAGTGCAGGGTGCCCACCAGGCCTTAAGATACACACAGGTCAGCCACCTCCTTGGCTATATTGAGTTGTGGGATATATTCATTTACGTCTGCAGGTTTTCCCACCAGTTCCTTGTGTTTTTTGACAGAAAGAAGAACCATCTTGGATTAGTGCCAAAGGAAAATAAACCTTGCCCTTATTACATCACCCCTATAAAAGGTAATGCATTTCAGACTTTTCTTTTTACTGCATCAACGCATCAAAACGGCATAGTTTTTCATAATTCTATGATATAAAATAGATATACTTTAAAAGTTCTCCTTACATGTTCCACAGAAGAAAATCATATTGGTTTGGAACAACATGAGTCAATAAATCTTAGCAGAAGTTAGCATCACCCTGATTCCCTCAACAACAAAAAAATCTAAAATAATTTGGGCTTTTGGATTATTGCCGAAAATCTCTGTGACCAGTAAAAGTTTATAATTCTTACAAAATTTGTTCATCCATAATTTTCACAACTGAACACACGTTTTATGAATTTTGAAAGCTAAATACAATTGGTAGAAGTAAAAAGCTAAAGTTAGGATATGAATAACAACACAGTCGAATGACCTTAACATATCCGGCACTAAGCTTCTGACAAGTAGATTTCATATAAAGATTAAAAGACAAGTTGGAAAGTTTGAGTTCGAATAGTTTGCAAGAATGAAAGCATAGAAATAACAAGGCTATTAAAGCTTTTGTCTTGAAAGCTGATTCAGGTCTTTATGTCGTAGAATAAAATGTGAAGATGTCTTGAGACTTTATTTCAGGCGTTTAAACAAAAACCCATTAAAAATCCATTGACTTTGGGACGATGGAAGCAGAAGTGCCAAAAAAAATGCCAACTTGTTTCCGGGATTTAGGATTAATTCCTGCAGCACTCTGGTTTGGTTGAAGTTTATTATGTTTTGAGTGCAGCTCCACAGATATGACTTATTTGAATATGCTGTTATCTTTCATCCCCACATGTCTCTTTTGTTTCTCTAGTCATTGTTCATATGAAGGGAAGTGGAAAATGGCCCAGTGAGCACATGGCAATACGCCATGTTAAAGCAGCCTTTCACATCTGCTTGGGCGAACTGCTGTGCAAACAACACAAATACAAATGTCATGCCACACCCACCTACCTGGATGTGTGGAAGGTAATGTGCATTCATTCATGTTTCTGTTGTTTCTCACATTTATGATGCTAGTAATATGCTGTCGAGCTGAAGTTACAAGCACAATCAACATAATTTCACCTTCATCCATTCAGGATGGGCTAGTCTTCCGAATCCCATCCGTATCACAGAGAACCGCAGATCCTAAGGGAAAGCCTGACCCCTGAGGGAATGCTGATCTACAGGGACAACGCTGAGGCCCAGGCGCTGGAGCTGGAGACTCTGCACAAACCTTTCCTAACCAGCACCTTGCATGGGTACAGCACATATATAAACATGCAGAACACACTCAGCTTTGTCTTGGCAAGTGGCTTGTTTAGATAAATGTACACCTTGACACGTTGCATGTTAGGCTCCATCAGCAGTATGAGCATTTTGGTGTTGTGTGCCGCCTGGCTAAACACTGGTTGGCATCTCAGTTCCTGTTGGAAGATATCCGAGAGGAAGCAGCTGCTCTGCTGGTGGCCGTCACTCTTCCAACATCCTGCTCCCTTCACTCCACCAAGGTAATTTGGCCCTCTGACTCATGTATTCATCATTGTATGGTATACATATACAGTGACACCGCACCTCTTCACAGCTCTCCTCAGGTGGGGTTCCTTCGCTTCCTTCATTTGCTTTCCACTTTTGACTGGAAAAACAATCCCGATAGTCAACCTCAATGGGAAACTCTCACAGGTAAGCTTCACCTTGAGTATTTCACCGTTGCCTTTTATGGCTTGTGCGTCTAACCATTTTTACTACTTTCAGAAAAGTTGTCAACTAGTCAGTGGTTACTTTATATAAACGCAGATTCTGCTGTATTTACTGTTTCTGGAAAGTCTGCATGGATGGGGAAGGAAAACGTTCTTGAGTCCACTGACAGATTCATATAATGAATGGCGCAAAACACAGTGACGTCCCAGTCACTTATAGTTTTGGTTTGCTTGTAACATGTTTTTGTAATATACACTACCGTTCAAAAGACTTTTAAAATGTCACATGATCCTTCAGAAATCAGTCTAAGATGCTGATCTGGTGATCAAGAAACATTTCTTATTATTATCAATGTTGAAAACAGTTATGCTGTTTAATACTTTTTTTTTAAACCATGATGCATTTTTTCAGAACTGTGTATTTTGATTTAATGGAGCCTTGCTGTATAAACGTATTGATTTCCTTAAAAATTTACTGACCCAAAAAAACAGTAGTGACAAGAGATGTTAGAGATGTCCTCCTGTTATCATCGTGTGAAGAACAAGCACAACTGAAGTCATTTGATTCATGACTAGTCGACACAGATCTAACACATTGACTAGTAGCTTTTATGTTTCAGCTGCTGAACACACAGATATAAAGAATGACTTTGTGGCCTCTAGGGAATCTCTTCCCAGCATGTTCATAGTCACTCATAATGACAAGAAGGTCTCCGTTTGGACTAAAGAGGCTCCTTCTGTGCAGGTTTGTAGATCCAATATTCTCACATTCTAATACAGATTAGTTATATGTACAGTGTGTATGAACATAAGTGATGTTATCATTAAAAAAATAATAATTTATGCATTTAGCAGACGCTTTTATCCAAAGCGACTTACAGTGCATTCAGGCTATACATTTTTTACCAGTATGTACTCATGTTGTCTCCAACATATAGATGCTCCAGTGTGCCGTCATGTTGGCAGCAGAAAGTCTACATGTTTTAGAGACTCAGCTTGACTCTGGTCAAAAGCAGGACATCCGGGTCAGTTCCTCTGTATTTAACCTGTATTATGCAAATGTATGCAGCTGTCATCTTTTTGTATTTAACCTCACTGTTTCCTTTGTTTCTAGGTGGCATTTCGACCTCCTCTGGAGGCTTATGATGACTATGATCCAGTCCGACTGTATCTGTCTGAACTCAGGGTTTGTGGGGATTTTAATTCACTTTTACTGATTTTTTTTCCCATTATGCCCTGTTAGACTTAAAATACCTTGTAAATTAGATGCGTCTTATACCAGTTCTCTTGTGATTTTTAGGAAGCATTTGGAGATTTGGCTTTATTTTTGTATGACCCTTATTGCGGAACCGTGATCGCAGTGCTGTGGAAGCCAGCTGCCTTTGAGCCGAAACCGTTTAAGGTTTCTCAATTTTATTTTGAGCTTTTATTTACTATGACACTGAGTAGGGTTGGCAGAATTTAAGTGAATTGAGTTACAGTTAAGATTTATGGCACCTTCTTACTTCTGATTTTCTCTGTTCTCAGACATCTTTAATGAATGCCCGTCGTGTGGAGGTGAATGACGGTGTGGCAACCACCGTGCCAAATGTAGAGGCCATCCTGCAGGATCTCCACGTCATCGGGGAGGGTCTCGTCAAAAAATTTGATCTGAGAACAGAAAAATGGGTTGTCTAGGATCTGGCAGTAGTTTCTGTAGAAATAACTGTTAATCTGGATGTTGCTGTGTTTACACCTGTACATTTCATGTACTTGAATTGCTTCAATTAAATTCTCTTCATCTGCCTTTTAAAAATACTGTTCTACTGTATTATTTTAATCAAGTAATAACAAGATGATTTGTTTTCCCTTTATACAATGAGCTGTGGCCCACCTTTCTATGCATTTAAGACTGAATCTGGCTCTGTAAAGAAAGAGACAATCATGTTACTATACTAACTGCATGTCACAAAACATTTCATTTTATTGTAGATAGTATTTTATTAAAAAAGGGAACTCAGAATCAGAATGAGCTTTATTGCCAGGTGTGTTTACACATACGAGGAATTTGTTTTCGTGACAGAAGCTTCCACAGTGTAACAGAATGACAGCGACAGAACAAAAAACACAGATAATAAAAATTAAAATAGAACAAGTAAATAAGGAATAAAAATATATAACTTAAAGGTTGTATGTGCAGGGCTATTCCAATAGCGCGTTTTTGTATGTACAGGTACTGAATATTATGTGCAAATTTGAGGTGTAGACTGAGTATGTGTGTTAGATAAATAAGTGTATGAGTGAATAAATAGTGTGTGTTCCACGGTTATTGTCAAGTGTTCATGAGATGGATGGCCTGAGGGAAGAAACTGTTCCTGTGTCTGGCTGTTCTGGTGCTCAGTGCTTATATATTTCGAATTTATTAATTTAATATACTTTAAAATCGAATTTATTCCCATGATGGCAAAGCTGAATTTTCAAGCTGATGATATTATGTAACAAACAGGGCCTTTCTTCATGGGATACTCATTTTGTCTACCAGCAGCAGTATTGTATTTTGTCCAATAGGTGGCGGTATGTACCTGATTGTTAACGGAAAAGGAAAAGAAGAAGCGATTTCTGTAAACAAACATATATTACGGATTATAGCTAAACTAAGCCTACAAAGTACGGCTTTCTGGTGTTATGTGTAAAATGGACAAGTCAGCTGATAGTGCGATTCTATGACATATGCAGACCGAGCATCTCGCTCGAGGTTTTTACGACTAGTCAAACCTTCATCTACATCGTCTTTAAAAGTCGTTGGTATCGCTCTGGATGCAGAAACATGCTGCTGTTCCGTGTGTTAGTGCTGTTGATTCTTCATATGAACGCGCACTGCATGTCTCTGAACTGGACATCACGTGACAGACCAAACCTAGTCATGCTCATGTCTGATGCCTTCGTAAGTCACTCACGTTACACTATAATAAACCAAATAACTTCTCAAGGGTGACTATTTACACGTTTTTTCAGTCACTTTAACTTTGCAGAATTACTGAGCTGTCTTCCAAACCCTAGAGAGCTGCCTAACTAGAAAGCAAAAGCTTGTGAAGGCGGCTCACCAGGTTTTATGACACAGAATCTGTGTTGTCTGACTTCTGTTTTCTTATTTCTGAAGGATGGCAGGTTAACTTTTTCTCCAGGCAATAAAGTTGTACAGCTGCCTTACATCAATTATATGAGGGGAATGGGTGCTGTTTTTCTTAACTTGTACACTAATTCACCAATCTGCTGTCCTTCTAGGGCAGGTATAGTATTAGTCAGCCTCTGCATATTGATATCTATTGTGTACCAAAATGGTTGTGTGCATGCACTGTAGAAATCAGATGAATATCTTGATTTGTTTTGGCAGCTATGTGGAGTGGTCAGTTTATTCATTTGACTCAGGCCTGGAACAACTATAAATGTCTTGAGCCCAATGCCACCACATGGATGGACCGCTTAGGAAAGAGTGGGTACCACACTCATAGCATGGGGAAACTAGACTACACGTCAGGACATCACTCTGTCAGGTGACTTTTGTGTAGCCCCTAAAATGTATTTGGACACTCAAATATACACTTTCATTTCGAAAGTGGGTTGGCCAGATTTTTCATTGTCTTTGAAATACATCTCACCAAGGCTGTATTACAGTAAACACAGTAAAATGCTAATATTGTGAAATATTATTACTATTTAAATGAACTGCTTTCTATTTGGATATATTTTAAAATGTAATTCATTTCTGTGATAAAAACTGAATTTTCAGTAGCCTTTACTCCAGTCTTCTGTGTCACATGATCCCAGATATCATTCTAATATGCTGTTTTAGCATGTATTGAAAATTATGAAACAAATATACCGTTTTGACGTCTGGAACCTCTCTGTTGTTCAGTAATCGTGTGGAGGCGTGGACCAGAGACGTTCCATTCCTGCTGAGACAAGAGGGCCGTCCGGTCACAGATCTGGTGGGCGATGCATCCACAAAGAGGGTGATGACTAAAGACTGGAACGTCACTGATGCTGCGGTCCAGTGGATCCAACACACGGCTGTGTCTCTCGCCCAGCCATTTGCACTATATGTGGGGCTGAATCTCCCTCACCCGTACCGCACAGACTCCCTGGGACCCACAGCCGGGGGTTCCACCTTCCGCACTTCCCCGTATTGGCTAAACAAGGCAGGTTACCTTGTCTGATTTAATGGAGACATGAATAACCTGTACATTTTAAAATCTTAATTGAATTGGAGTATTAAAACATTTAAGATTTTTTCACTGGACTGGATTTGAATCTAAGAATCAGAAACTGAACAAGACTTGAAATCTCCACGCAGTCTGTTTAGTTTCAGAGGGAAACTAATCTGCACACTGTTTAGCTATTCCCTTTATTTTCTAAATAGAATGGCAGAATTCGATCTGAGATCTTGGCCAGTTAAATTAAAATGTTTAATAGTGACAGACAAAATAAAATAAAAAAAATTGAAAACAAAAGTAAAAAAAAAAAAACCTTTTTGTCCACTTTGTAGTTATAACAGTTCCAAACATATACCATCAAATATTATATAATTTGCTCATCAATGTGTTTCTGCCGTTTCATGTCGTCGTCTTTTTTTAATTAATGTTTCTGAAGACTTAACACAACCATAGTGAATTTATGTGGCAGGGGCATTGCTAGGGATTCTAAAACTCAAATTATTAAGAGCTGTTTTCTGTAATTAAAATAAAGCTAAAATTAAATAAAATATAAATATTAGGTCAAAACTAAAAAAAGAACTGAAATAAAATAACTTTGTTAATTTACTAAAACTTTAACTAATTAAAGCTATATAGCAATATTAAAAAATATGTAATAAGAAAATTACATGACAAAATGACTAAGACTTAAACTAAAATGAAAAGTCAGTCTCACGGTGGCAGTTTATCTGTAGCAGTAGTTAATCTGAGGTACTCTGACAATGATTGTGTTTTCTCTCAAAGGTTTCTTATGATCAAGTGTCTGTTCCAAAGTGGTTGCAGGTTGAAGACATGCACCCTGTGGATTACTACTCCACTTTCACCAAAAATTGCAGTGGCCACTTCACAAAAGAAGAGATCAGAAACATTAGAGCCTTTTACTATGCCATGTGTGCTGAAACTGACAGCATGCTGGGTGAGCAGCCAGATCCATGTTTAAGTGCTGTTTTGTCACTGGGTTTGATGTAATGATATACTGTGATTTTGTGTCTGTAGGTGAGGTGATGGCTGCTCTCAGAGACACTGGCTTACTGAACAGGACAGTCGTACTGTTCACTTCGGATCATGGGGATCTAGCCATGGAACACAGGCAGTTCTATAAGATGTCCATGTTCGAGGGCAGCTCTCATGTCCCTCTGCTTATAATGGGCCCAGGAGTGAAGTCTGGCTTTGAAATCAGTCTACCTGCATCACTAGTGGACATTTATCCCACTGTGCTTGGTAAGGCTGGGAACTGATTGCACCGCTAGTATTAGTATAATGTGGTGTTATAAGCTGAGGTTCAGTTATTTAAAATAAAGCATGGCTTGGTATTTGGGTGAATCTTAGCCAAAAAAAAAAAAGTCATACTTCAGCCCATAAACATAACAAGTGGGTAAGATTTTGTATTTTATTTAGCAAGGACATATAAAAATTGACCAAAAGTAACAATAAAGGCATTTAAAAAATTTTAAACTTTTCTATTTCAAATAAACTCTGTTCTTTTGAGCTCAAGAATCCAGATGAGCCCAAGTATCACAGTTTCCACAAAAATAATAAGCAGCACAACTGTGTTCAACATTAATAATAAGAATAAAATAAGAAATGTTTCTTGAGCGCCAAATCAGCATATCAGAATGATTTCTGAAGGATCATGTGACACTGAAGACTGGAGTAATGGTTGCGTATATATATATATATATATATATATATATATATATATATATATATATATGTAATGTTTGTGTATATAATGTTTTCATTGGTTTCCATCTGCTCTATATGTTTTTGTTAGATCTTGCTGGTGTTCCACAGCCAGGGGGTCTCAGTGGTCACTCACTGATCCCTATGATTTCTGGGGTCAGCGTTCAGTCAGCAGAGCCTCATCCCGGCTGGGTGCTCAGTGAATATCATGGTTGCAATGCGAACGCCTCCACATATATGCTGAGGATCGCCGAGTGGAAGTACATCACATATGCAGATGGATTGACCATTCCCCCACAACTCTTTAGTGAGTTTCTTCTCATGATAGCACTGCTGATGATGATGTGTAATAAAACATATATCATCTTTTGCCATAGTATTCTGCATAACCGGCATGTGATGTCCCCAGGGACGCGGGAAGTAGGGGTGCTGAGGGGGCTGCAGCACCCCCTGTTTTCACATGGTTGCAAATGCAGCGCCAAGTTTGTTCATTTTACATTTATTCAGTTTTAGCATTTAATAATTTATTTGTAATGATCTCTGAAATGTAAATTGTAAGTGGGCTATAATAAACCCATGTTTATCTTTATAAACATGATACAATTTTACTTGTGATGTTTTCTATATGGGATGATTAGCCTAATCCTCATGAACACGTGACGCTAGCACCAACCTCCCCCTCCCCAACACGGACACACACAGCACCCCCAACCGAAAGCATCTTCCCGCGCCCCTGGATGTCCATGTTATATATAACTGTTTTAAGTAACTGGTTTCAATGTTCTCTCCACATAGACTTGTCCAAAGATGAATCAGAATTGAAAAATGTTGCATCACATTTCCCTGATGTATGTCAGGACTTGGACAAGCTGTTACGCACAATTGTGGACTACCCCAGTGTCTCCCAAGCTGTTCACAGCTACAATAAGCAACAGTTTCTGGAATGGAAGCAAAGCCTAGGAGACAGTTACTCCCAGGTCATAGCCAACCTGCGATGGCATATTGACTGGCAAAAGGATGCCAAGTCCTATGAGAGAGATATTGAGGAGTGGCTATTAGGGTTGGATTGACCATCAGATTTGTAACTGTCAATGATCAGCACAAGCAAGACATGATTCATGTTCCTGTTTAAAACAAAAGAACAATGTAATCTGTATAAGTCGAGGCTTGCCACCCAATGTACCTGAAACATAGTTTGCCCCATAAAGAGCTTACTATAATTATTACAGATGCACTCTAGTTGTAAAATAACTTAAAATATATTATTTTTATTTGGATTTAATAATTTAAATAATGGCCCTGCCCTTAGAAACTGGTAGGATTTTTGTTTCGTTTAGTTTTTTTCAAGTCAAATAGCACATTTAAAAGTTGACACAAAGTGCTACATAATTCAGGTAATAAAAATACCTGAAAAATAATATAAAAATATTTAATATTAATATTAATAATATTTGAACAAATACAATATTACTATATATATATATATATATATATATATTGTGTGTGTGTGTGTAGCGGTACAAGTAAGCTTTTCCTTTCAGCAAAAATATAATTTCTTATTGTAATTTTGGGACAAATTATAACCCGGAAGTGTTTTCATAAGTTTCGGTCTGTTCTATGTGTTTTTGTTAGATCTTGCTGGTGTTCCACAACTACTAGATAATAATATGATGGTACCTTTTTTGGATTTAAATAATTGTATTCATTTACCATGGTATTTACAAGTTATCTCCAAAAAATACAATGCGTCCAAAAATATGATTATGGTTTTTGATCATTATGTTTGTTTTCGTACGTGTTTTAGGATTTTAGCAAATTCCCAAAGGTAATCAACAAGTGGTGATGGAACATAGTTTATGTAATACTTCGCACTACCGAAGGGGGGTGACATAAAAAGCCCAACACTTTCAAACCCAGAAGAGAATCGTGAAACGTGTGTGTACAAGCAACAGCAGACAACATTGTTGCTGTAGACGCGCAGTATTGATGTTTGACTTCTATAGCAGCCCGGGTCACGTGAGGATCCCAGACTTGAAGACGAGCTCGTCGCTGCGTGTCGTCCCGTGTTTGATCAGATGTTTGCTACTCGAGTAGGATGGGCTTTCACACCTGGCGCTGTTTACATCAGACCTTAAGCGACTTCGGAGCTAGTGTTGTTGTTTAGGCGTTTTAAGTTAGAACGCGATCTAACGTTAGTAAAATTAAAAACAGGACGACTGCGGACTTTTTTTTCATAATTGTTCCTGATGTCGGACTGCAGCTCGTCGGGTTCAGATGAGGAGTTGGACCCGGAGATAGAGCTGCTGGACGAGCTCGGCGGCACGCTCACTAAGGTAACGTTAAACAGAAGAGTACTGTAAAACACTACACTTTTAAACGCGTTTTTTAGTGTGCAACAGTATTTGGGACTGGTTTTGTGGAAATGAAGGTTAGTGAATTACTTCTGTTTGTTTATATGTGACTGAAACGTCGCAACTTTTTGGAAGTTTTGAGACTGCGCGTGTTTGCCCGACCACTGCAATCAGTAACATACGAGCGATGTCCGACTGAAACGATACGGTCTACGTTGCAGTGAATCAGGTGAACCGTTTTGTGCCAACCGCTCGAAACGATTCTGACTCGAGCGGTTCTCGAGCCAGTATAACTTCCCTCATAAATCCTAAAATCGTCGATTTCAGGCATGTCAAAACTAGCCGTGGTGAAGTTACTGATTACAACATTTTATGATTTTTTTTTTTTTCATTCAAGCTAAGAAGTGTGAATACATTTTAGTAGCGTTTATTGTAAATTCAATAGATATACAGGTTCTAAATGACATTGTAATGAGCGTTATAAAGTAGATCATATATGAAATCGCAGTACACTCCATTAAAAACTAAATACAATCATGGCCAAAAGTTTTGGCTGTGACAAATTTTGTTTTTTGCAAAGTTTGCTGCTTCAGTATTTGTGGATTATTTTCCCACATGGTTCAAGTCAAGTCTGCTTTATTGTCAATTCTTCCACATGTACAGCACATACACACAGAGAATTTAAATTGCGTTACTCTCAGACCCTTGGTGCATACAGATAACATAAATACAGATAGGTACAGATTAAATACAAAATACAACTATACAAATAAGGTAAAATGTAAAAATATATCTATATATATATAAAGCACAAGGCATATGGCAGATAGAGTGCAAACCAGTAAATGGTATACTGAAAAACAATGATAAGGATATCAAGTTTTAAAGGCTTTTATTGATTTATTTTATTCATTTATTAATGAAGCTTTTAGCAATTATTTAAAATGCATCTGAGCACTCTACACAATAATCTAGAAACGATGTGAATCAACACCACAACAGCTTAAGCAGCAAACTTTGCAAAACACAACATTTATGTCACTGCCAAAACTTTTGGCCATGAGTGTAGTCTAAAATATAAATATAGAAATGTATCGTAACGTATTAGAGCATGTAGTTGCTTCCTGACATAAATTAATCGCTTTTTTGTGATGATCCAACTACTAAGCTGATGTCTTTTATGTTTAGATGATTATTTCGGCAACAAAATAGCAGTCATTGGCTATGACTCCACTTTTCAGGGAAAACCTTAATTTTTACATATCTTTTTGTGAAAAAGTACGTCAATACATTTGGCACTTACAGTACAAGTTATATTTTTCTTTCATATTTGAAGTAATTTATTTACTACTATTAGGGAAAGCTTTATTATTATTTTTTCTTTTTGAAGGAGTGAGAGTAAGTCAATGTTTGATTTGTTTTATATTTTAGGTAATTTTTATATGTATGTGTGTATATATATATATATATATATATATATATATATATATATATATATATATATGTATATGTATGCATTATATTTTTCTCTTTAACCTCTTTTTTGAAAGCATAAGTTTATACACTTATAAGTTATGTTAAGAAATGTATACTGAATAAACCCAATTAGTTATTGTAGTTTGGGTAATGTTCAGTTAAAGTCACCTGCTGAACTTTGAAGCCTTTAACCCTCAGGAGGGATTCATCTTTATGTTGCAAGTACTTGAAGAGATAACTGTAAGCCGCATGATATGAATAACTATCTCTGTTCATTTTCAGTGGACAAACTACATTCATGGATGGCAGGACCGCTGGATTGTGCTGAAGGGCAATATTCTCAGTTACTACAGGTCAGCAGATGAGAAGGAGTTCGGCTGTAGAGGGTCCATCTGTCTCGGCAAGGCTGTCATCACGGTAAGGCTGATCTGATCTGTAGAGCGTCCTGTCATGTTTATCTGTATGATTATCAGGGGCTTAGCTTGACTACAGTATCTTGACTTCACAGTGGTGTGAAGAGCTGACATGTACCACAGTGTGAAAATATTTGAGACGTAATGCTTGCTGCTCAACATGCAGCGTTTATCCGTCTGCTACTGTCAGCGGGGAAGATGTTGTACTTGTTTTGGGGGTTTCTCTTGTTTCAAGGTGGACAAAGCAGAAGATGAGGTTGAGTAGAAAGTACAAAGGTACCCCACTACTTTGAACAGACACATCCTAGTGTCATCCACACTAAACATCCTGCAAAACCACATCTGAATACTTTATGGAATTATCATTATAAATAATGTGGCTTAAAAGATGATTATTGATGAACTTTGCAGCATTAACACTGTTAGTTTCCTATTTATTACTGTGAAGCTGGATTAAAACAATCTGCTTTAGTGCTGGGCGGTTTGACCAAAAATATGTATCACATTTTTTCCCCCCTAACTATGCCTTTATATTAATCAGAATGTGTGAAACCGTTGCAGAACCACTGCATTTTAATCACGATCCAAAGAAACCTGCTAGCATGAGCAGTTTTTGATGTAAATTTGATGCTCTGACCTTAGCTTTGTGATATGATAACATGATTGTGATTGTGAAGGAGACCGAAACGGCAGACAGGCTGAAAGAGACCCAAATTCACTCTCTTCTGACCGCAGGTGGCGCTATGGAACAGCTGCGATACAGTGTTTCCTTGGATACCGCTGTAAACAAAGCAGCGCTGCGCTTTTAAATGCTACATTAATGTTATTAATATTATGCATTATATGGAGGTAAGATGAAACGAAAATACCATCTAAACTTTTCTGAAGACAGTCAGTTCCCCTCAGATACATTCACATAAACCCCTCAGCCCCAGTTCAGTATTTAGGATTTTCTTCCCAATATTTCGTGCATGGTGAAGTGAGTTCTGCCTGTTACAGTATTTTCTTTTTGCGTCCGTCTTTCAGGCTTCTGTTAACGGCCGTTTGCAGTTGGTTTATTTGCCCGTTAACAAATTAGTTGTGTTTTATTAATAGTTCTAAAAGTTTTCCAATCATTAGTCAGAAGTGTATGCAGTTAACAGGGATCTCCTCTCAATTAACGACGCTGTGTACGTTGCTTAGGCACTTGTAACTACCTGTATACCGGTTTTTGAAAAATTCATACCGTTTGCGCAATTCAAACCGGTTTAGGCTACCGTTTGAACCGGTATACCGCCCAGCTCTGATCTGCATTGTATTAAGTGCTTTAGAAATGCACATGACTTGACATTTCAGAGGTTACTTTTTGTACAAAGTGATAAATTTCCACTTTTCTTTGTTACTGGGCCAGTTGATTCTTTAATGTTTGTTTGTTTTTTCCAGAAAGATTATATTTTCTCTTAAAGCAATGCATTGTATGTATTCCCACAAAGTCAAGAAAAACTTTATCCCAGTCATGTGTGAATTTTTTTTTTTTTTTTTAATAAAATAAAAAGAGAAGTCATCAAATTATAATTTCCGTATATTGGTGTATGTCTATGAGCTGGGGTTCTGCATGTAGTGCAGGCTGTTTCAAGTGCAGAAGTTTTGGCAGTACGACTACAAGGAAATGTCCAACAAAGCTGCATTGTAGCACATTTTGTCTGACACACTATTACTACATTGTTCTGGTACTGAGTGATTTGAATTAGTTTTGAGGATTAGAAGAACTGCAGGAACATCCTGTGACGGCACATATCAGATATCTCATTGCGAAAAAGGTGATCTGGGAGCAGTCCTTGCTTTGCCTGTTCCAATAAAACTGGGTATGTGTAAAGAAAGAACCTGTTTGAAAAGTACTGCCCCTAGTTTCATTCATTGCTCTTGGCCTTGAGAGCTTTGTAGTGTTTTCTAGGTGATGTTCTTTGCTCTGAAAAAGTCACCTTGGTCTAAAGGGGCTGCTGTTAAAGATCACAGACAGTTATATGTAGATCAGGATCTAAAAGATTGTTTTAGAATCCAGTTTTGATCTTCTGTCTGAATAAACCTCTACAAACACTGACTGCACACATGATCAAATAGGAGTGGAAGAATAATGCCTCTGAAACCAGGCTTCGAAAGGCTGGAAGACTTTGAAGCCGATCAGATCTGGAATGTCTGTATTCTGTTGATTTCAGTGTTTGGAGGAGGAGAAAACGGAGATGATCTGATAATAACAGATGTTCCTCTAACACTGATTGAATTCAGCAGCCCAGTTCTGGCCTGGATCAGTGCTCTGTCTCTGATAACAGCTATTCTACAGATCACTTAAAAATCCATCTGTCTGTATCCAAAAGACAACAAACCACTCCCATTACTAGTTATACCTAGTACTAACCACTACACCTGCTGAAAACACTTACTACAAAGTATGTTTACAGTCCGCTGTGCAATGCATGGGAAAAAAATACTACACCGGATAGTGTGTGTGTGTATGTTTTAATGAACTAATTATTATTTAAATTAAATTAATAATGGTTTCGGTTGTCTTCAATAATGGAACTGACAGTCATATGTCATTGTATGTAAGTGTTCAGTGCAGCTTCTTAGCAGTTGACCAGTTGGCTCATTTAGATTAATAAAAATCTCCATATACTGTAGTAGCTAATTACGAACAAAATGGCAATCTGGCAAAATTGTGCTTTGGTGAAGATGTAAGTTCCAAACTGTGGATCATTTGTGCACTGCTTACAATAGCTGGTTTTGAGATAGCTGGTGGTTTCCCCTAGTTTGTGTGTGAGGCGGTCTGCAGTTTTTGTTTTACTGTTATCTGCCATCTGTAAAAGTGTGAGATTTTCAGTGACCTATTCAGTGGTGCTAATCTATGTTGTGGTGGCAAGGAGTTGTTTATCAGGAACAGCAGGAAAAGGTGCTTCAAAAACATAATGGCAGACAGATTTGAATAAACCTGGCCCATAAACCTTTTCCATTTTCCAGCATGTTCGTTGTTATGATATGTTCTTGTTTTTGATGTTCTCTTTCTTTTCAGCCTCATGAGTTTGACGAATGCCGTTTTGACATCAGTGTGAACGACAGCATCTGGTACCTGAGGGCTGAACATCCTTTGCTCCGGCAGCAGTGGATCAATACCATTGAACTTCACAAGGTGAGTGCGTCAGAAGCAGCAAACCCTCTAGATAAACTGCAGCTCCGCTCCAGTGTCTTTCTGATAGTGAGTGATCAAGTTCGGGTGGCAGAACCTGATTGGGTGTTTTATTTATTTTTTGTTGAGGGAGGGAAGGTGTTGGAGGCACGGTTCAGTGGAATGTGTCCCACGTGCTTTTTTTTCTGGCTATCATTTCCTTGTGCTGTCATTTGAGTACAGTGAGCTAAAAATGTGTGTACTTTTCGTAGCATGTACTGAATTTGATAAAGAATTTGTCTCTGTTGTTGATGAAGTATGTTCTTTAGATATGCAGGGTTTTAGGGGTACGTGACTATCTATTAATTTATTTTTAAAAAACATTAGAAATACAGTTCATATATACAGTGACTTGGATACACCTTGACTTGGAGCGTGTTTTAACTAATAAATTAAAATGAATAAAAAAAATATTATAATTTTTTTTTTTGAGTGGTAAAAATGTAATTTAAGGTTTCAAAATTAATAATCAATGATAGACGTTTTTTTAAATACTATTTACCTTGAAAACCCTTAAAAACATTTTGGTAATGATGATCAAAATGTGAACACTTACTTGTATTCCAGAAAAAAAAAAAAGTAAATTTATGAAATTGTACTAGAGATTTAAAAAAAAAAAAAATTATGGAAAGAGTCATTATTTTATTAATTTATTTTTCAAAACCAAAAAAAACCCTACAGGAATACACTTCTAAGAACTAGTTTAAATAAACTATTTTATCTTGGTATTTTTTTTTTTTTTTTTAAATCACACGATTGTATGTCATTGACCCTGGTATAATTTATTCCTGTGCATACTGAACCTGCCGTGTTGGCTTTGTCCTTTGACCTCTGACATACTAACAGAAACTGCAAAAATAATTTTCTTGTTAAACCGTTTCTTTATACCTGTTTGGTTACTGTGTCATAACTCATTTGACATACTGCTTTTTACATGTTTAGCAGGGAAGTGCGGATGTCCTGGAAAACTTCAGCTATGCTCTGAGTGACATGTTGGCTAAGATTCGTTTGCATGAGGAGAAGCGAGAGATTTATTGTGCAAGTGATGTCTGGCAGTGGTTTGCAGTGACGTATCATGTCTTGAGAGAGATATGCAAAGGGAGGGTCCTGAGGAATGTGCTGATCTGAATGACTCTCACATGTGCGAGTAGAGCTGAACTCAATAAAAGGAGTGGAGCTGTTTCTACACAGCTGGTGTTTGGATCCAGGAAAGGGTGTTTGTGTATAGTTGTGTTTTTCTAACAGGGAGAAGGAGAGTTTGTCTGTTAAAGCAGCTATTTCAGATACATTTCTTGAAGTATCATAATGTTTGATTTTTGTGTGTTGAGAGGAGTCTGTTGTCCTGCATTGGACTGCGAGAGACAATGTTAAGCTCTTTGCTTGGTTTGAAGGTCATAAAGGCAACTGAAGTTCTGTGGGTTTATGAGAAATCAACAGTGAGTTTGGTTGCTAAATTACCAAGTCCTTCAGTCAGTTCATTAATGTGTTTGTGTCCTTTTAGGAACATTAGGAACATTGTGATCCAAGTAGACGACACACAGCAGAAATACTTCAAATAATCCAAAAAATAAGAAATAATCCAAATGTTCCCTGGTAGTTTTACACTCATGGCCACTTCTACCATCTGCTGGTTAAAAGTGCTGTTGCAGTTTTGTCATGTGACTTAAAAAGCTGTTTTAGACTCCAGAGGGGAGCCTTTCTGGTCTCTTTAAATTATAGAATCATTGACCCAAAAATGATAATGAAAGGAGTCATCATATACTCAAACTCTTGTTCCAAACGTATGTTTTTCTTTCTTTGGTTACACGCAAATGTCCGTGCTGCGCTTTTCCATAGAATAAAAAAGGTTTTGGAGACTTGGGCTGCCAAGCTCCAAAAAAATGACAGAAAAACACCATAAAGTTAACAAAAAATGGTCCATATGAATTGTGTATTTATATTCAAATTCTTCTGGAGGGCAAAACTGAAATGTTCACGTTTTCAGACTTGGACACATTGTGCTGGGGAACAATACAACTTGTAATATAATGGATAACTTGTATGGGCCGCTTTTAATGGTGCATTCATTTACTTTATTTTGAAAGCTTGACCGTCTTAGTTCCTGTTCACTCGTTTTCTGGTTCACACTTCCTGAAACCGAAATGATTAAAAAAATTAAAACAAAAATTCTCTATGAAATGTAATTGTACATGTACTCAAAAAGCTCATGTTACCTTGAGTTCTACAGCAAATGATTGTGTCCAAGGTTTTGTCAATGACAATGTAACTCACATAATTATGCTTGTACTGTAGTTAGTACCACATAAATATATAATATCTATATCAGTATCCCAGCATTCTCTTATATAAACACAAACTGACCCATTGTTTCGACCTGCCTCTTGTTTCTGCTCTGTACGGCTTCAAATCTAAAAATGTTATTTGAATCACCAATCCCTTCAACAGAAGAGCACAGCCGAGAGGCTGTTGGTGCTCAGGTCAGCATTGTTTATCGCGACGCTTCGTCTGTTGAGGTGATCTCTTATGTGTACGCATGCGTGGGTGTGCAGGCTGGGGTGGATGGGCATTTTCCGCTCCCAGTCGTTCAGCTGCATGAATAATGCATGAGTATATTCTGTCAACTAAAGAGGCTGCTTTGAAAGCCCTGCACTGCAAGAAGACTTCTGAACCAAAATAAAGGGATCAGGAACTCTGTAGTTTTGGGTGATGGTGCGGTTAAATAATTCATTGGTCCAATTTAAGATTGGAGATTTTAAGCTGAGGAGTACGGCACGAGACTGAGACGAGAGCACACGCCCAGCAGCATCTGATTTAACACGCTTATAGACTCCTTAAACACACGCTCTCACTTTCACTTACACTCTGCTGGATTAGATGCAGCTGAAGTGGCGGCAGAGGAATCTGGATGATTTGTTGATTTTATTGCAGTTAGGTGAGTGTAGTGTGTGTGTGGCAGCTCTGGGTTTCAGTGTCTGTATGGTTTGCCATCACTCTCTCTGTCGCTCTCTCTTTCTCTCCTCCACATGCTTTGCAGACCCACCCACAATCTATCTGGCTTCATACTGCCTCAGAAACCCACCTCACATAATTTCTTCACATTGCGAACACTAATGGCTTTATTTTTAAAGCTAAGAACAGAAACAAACTCGTCTTCTGCTTCGTTCCTGCTCCACCATGTGCTTGTGAAATGGTCTACAGTTAGAGCACTGGGAATTCTGGGAGTGTCCAGCAAGAGAACTGGGAATTCTTGGAGAATCCATTGAGAGACCTGGAAATTCTTGGAGGGTCCGGAGAAAGCACTAGGTATTCTTGAGGTGTTTGGAGAAAATCCTGGGAATTCTTGGACCGTCCGAAGAGAGAGCACTTTTGGGAGTGTCTGGAAAGAGCAGTGGTCATGCTGGGGCTGAGCACTCAGGACTGCAGCAGTGCCTTGTCCTGCTTTGGCTGCTGGACTGGGCGAATGGTGGGCTTTAGCACATTAGCATTTGAATTCACGTCATTTACTTGTTCACCATCCAGCACTCTCTTACTCAACCATTCATCATGTTTTCATCACCACTGACATCTTTGTTTGACGGTTTTAATTACAGTAATTGTTTCCATTCATTCATTCATTGATTGGGATGAAGCAGGACTGAAGCAGGTTTTTTCAAGCTTTTCCTGAAATATGGTTTTGTTGCAGTTTTTATAGATGTTCCATTAGAGTTGCATTTAACATCCTGCCCAATCTGTCACTAGCTATTAATTAAAGCAATTTATAAAATGAAATCTTCCACAAGCCAAGTGTCAGCAGTTTCAGAGTGCTCTCATGGAAGGACTGAAACGAAGGCTCGTTCAGTCAGGTATAGTGTCTTCTGACCAAATAAAAGAGTTACATGTGAGTACTGAATGCACTTAACATGGCCTTTTATGCTACTGTTCAAAAGTTTGATTTGATCAAACGTACAGTAAAACAGTGTTACTGTGAAATATTATTACAGTTTAAAATGAGTTTAATTTTCTATTTTAATATATTTTCAAATGTAATTTATTCCTGTGGTCGCAAACCTGAAATTGCAACAGCCATTACTCCAGTCTTCATTGTCACATGATATTTCAGAAATCATTTAATATGCATTTTCTAGTCCAAGTACCAGCCGCTTTATTTCTTTGCAAGTTTCAGAAATGCTTAGTTCAGCTTCAACCTTGACACCTCACTGCCCAATGGTCCAATTGAATGTTATTTTTGAACAGGTGTGAAGTTACCTAACTGGCTCTTTTTCTTTGTGCTGTATTTTGAGTGTAGGCTGAGTCAGGCTATGGGTCTGAGAGCAGTTTACGCCGCCATGGCTCCCTACTGTCCCTCACCTCTGCCGCCAGCGGCCTCTCCACCACCTCCGCATCCTCCTGCAAGGTGAGACTCAGCCTCTGCCTCCAGATCCAGAGCTCAAACACTGCTACATTTCATGCAGCCAAATGTCTTGTCTTTGGAGATGTCATTTCTGTTTTAATAACAATTGAATGTTCATTTGTAAACTGTTGAACAGAAGGGATACAGCCTGCGGGAAAAGCTAGCGGAGATGGAGACTTTCCGGGACATTCTTTGCAGACAGGTGGACACATTGCAGAAGTATTTTGACAACTGCGCAGATGCTGACAGTAAAGATGAGCTCCACAGGGACAAAGGTGAGGAAAAAGGATTTTGATTCACAAGTACCAATGAGGTTTGTTCTTGTGCGCCACTAAGCACAGTTGAGCTCCTGTTAAGATTTAATGTGCTCTGTTGTGTGTTGATCACTGTTGATATATGAATAAAAGCCTAAATTAAATCGGATCATCATATATAACTACCGTGTCTCTTCAGAAGACTTCAATTAAACCGTTTCATTCATATGGATTTATTTGACAATGGCTTTTTTTTTTTACTTTTTAATGCATGAAAGTTTTGGTAACAGACAAGAGGCAGAGAATGTTAAAAATAATTTGTGTTATAAAGGTAAACAAAGATCTGGTTTTGGAATGGCGTGAGGATGAATAAATGATTACTGTATTTTCATCTATTTAAATGGATTGGTGCACATTAAATTGCTTGAATTTTGGTTTGGTTTTTGATTTCAGTTGAATTTTGATTTATCTCTGTTTTGTTTTGTTCTTGCAGTATCTGAGGATGAGGAAGACTTTCCAACCTTACGGCCAGATGGAGATTATCTGCTCAACAATAGCAGCAAAGAGAAATGTGAGATATTTAAGTTTTTTTTTTTTTTTTTTTTGCTTTGTCATAAGCACATACTCTGTGCATAATACACCTGTTGTTTAAATGATTAAACGCCTGTGATCCTGTCTGAAAGCTGTTTGACTCAAGCAAATTTTTTTTTTTACACTATATATCTCCTGAATACATAGTAAATACCATGAGATCATCATACATGCTTATTTGCAATATTATAAATGCAGGCAATAAACCGCAAACTGCACTTCATGCAGTTAGTGGTAGCATCAATTTGGTGTGTGTAAAAACTAAACTGCTTTTTACTCCCATACTGGTGAAGATCTTCCATTATGTCCATTTTGGTTGTAAGTAAATGGCTTCTATCTGTCTGTGACTGAAGATTGTTATCCTTTGATAATTGATAAGAAGACACTAAGGCCCGATTTCACAGACGGGGCTTAGACTAAGCCAGGATTAGATCATAGTTCAATTAAGACATTTAAGCAATTTTCATAAACGTGCTTAGAAAAAAAAACATTACTGGTGTGCATCTTGAGACAAAACAAAGGCACTGATATATTTTAAGATCAGTCAATGCAAGTTTTTTTCAGTTGAAACAGCTCAGACTTACATTTTAGTCTAGGACTAGGCTTCAGCCTTGTCTGTGAAACCGGGGGTAATAAGATTTAATTAAGCAACTGAAGTTCCTTCAGAAAGTAGAGCTAAGTTTAAATACTGCTGCTATTTGACACAAATTTTACTTGATTTCCCTCAGTATTCCCTGTGGACAACCTCAAAGGTCCCTTAGGCATCGATTTCAAGGGTGAAGCCATCACGTTTAAAGCTACTACAGCAGGAATCCTGTCCACACTGTCCCACTGCATTGACATTTTGGTCAAACGAGAGGAGAGCTGGCAAAGACGACTTGATAAGGTAGTGTGCAGCAGAAATTAAAGGTTTTTTTTCATCCAAAAAAACCCCCCAAATCATCCTGTTATCATTTACTTCTCAAACATGTATGAATTGCATCTTTGTTGAACAAAAGTAAAATGCATTTATAATGTTACAAAATATTTCTTTCAAGTGCTGTCCTTTAAAAAAAAAAAAAATCAAATTTTCAAAAAAAATATTAGGCAGCACAACTGTTGTCAACAATCATAAGAAATGTTTGTTGAGCATCAAATCAGCATAATAAAATGATTTCTGAAGGATCATGTGACACTGAAGACTGTAGTATTGATGCTGAAGATTCAGCTTTGCTGTCAGAGGAATACATTTTACATTTTAAAATATATTAAAATAGAAAAGAGTCATTTTAAATTGTAATAATATTTCACAACATTACAGTTCTTACTATATTTGTTTATTAAATAAATGCAGCCTTAGTGAGCATCAAATGTGTTAAGCCTCCTTTCCACTGCCCAATGCGACCACCCGACCGGATGTGATGTATTCTAATCAAAACTCTCAGGTCAATATGACCAATATTTTTCCACTTTAACGTTATTCTGTATACACTATTTCTGTAAAATGGCGTTTTAGAAAATTTATGGCAGAAATAATTATTTTATAATTGAATCATTATGTACGTTGATTAGCCTCACATTGAAGACCTACTATGTTTTTATTTTGGGGGTCATTTGTGTAGAGATATTCAGACATTCATTTTACCATGGTGAATAAGCTGATGGTCACGGTTGCTTCACGACCAGTTTGAAAGTTCTGTATCTGGACAGTCGTATCCAAATGTTGGAGACAGTGGAAAGGCAGCGTTAATTAATAAAGGCAGAATTTGTGCTCTGCATTGAACCTATCCAAGTACACATACACACACACAGCAGTGAGTAGTGAACACACACACACCCGAAGCAGTTGGGGGTTCAGTGCCTTGCTCAAGGGTCTCACCTCAGTCATGGTATTGAAGGTGGAAGAGTCATTCACTCTCTCCACCTTCAATCCCTGCCGGTACCGAGACTCGAACCTGCGACCTTTGGGTTATAAGTCCGACTCTCCATTAGGCCACTGACCCTCTAATGTAGCGTTTCTCAACGGGGGCGCTGAAAGCAATATTTTTGAAAGGGGGGCGCTGAGGTGTTCTTGGGGGGCGTTTGGTTAAGGCGAGTTTACACCAAAGATGTATGAGCTGAGACTTGCAAAAGAAAATGGCCTGGCACATCCTAACGCAGTCTCTACACTGGATGCATCAAAGTGCACTTTCTATATCTGTTTGTCAACTTGTCGGTAGCGCAAGCGAGTGGAGCACGGCTGGCAGAGAACGCAGCATCCGTTTATGTAGATTATAATCAGGATCTGAGTGCTTTGACTAAATGTGTCATGACGTTCGTGCCCGGTGTAGTAGTGTTAGTTAGGGTAAGCCGCTAGTTTACACCAATACTACCGCTTCTAAACTATAATTTCTATAGCTTTCTGCATCTAGACACGTTAAAGCACAATATGCTTTTTCTTGTTTAGAAAAATTAATATGAATGCTTTTTGTTTGCTGTTTGGCTGCGGTTGGTTTGAATGCCAAATTTCAAGAGTTTATTCAAGCTCATAAATATAGCCTAATTTATATTCACGTGGCTTTTTTTGCTCCTTTGGAAACTAATGATAATGGTATTTAAAGTCCAGTCAAATATGTCATGTGACATAAATTATTTATGGGCTACTGTGGGCTGTAATATTTGGGTTAAAATACATGCTTTTAAAATAGGTTCATATTACAAATAAAATATAGCCTATAATATACACTACCATTCAGAAAAAAATGGTTTTGAAACAAATCTCTTCTGCTCAGTAAGGTTGCATTTATTTGATCCCCAAAAAAAACTGCAAACAGTAGGCTACATCTACAATTTGAAAGAACTGCTTTCTTTTCTTTTTTTCTTTCTTTCTGTTTTCCTCTCATACTAAAGCTCCATTACTCCAGCTTTCAGTGTCACATGATCCTTCAGAAATCATGCTGATTGCTGCTCAAAAACATTTATTCTTATTATTATAGCTGGCACACCACACTGACAAAAAAGCAAGATTTGAAATTTAATGGACTAACGAAGATATGAATCAGGACAGCACTAAAATAGTTTTGAAAATGAGGAGCATGTGTTTCCCATCTTATTACTTAGTTTTCTTTTAAGCATTTGTAAGCAGACTTTGAAATATTCTCACAAAGTCATGAAATATAGTAAAGGAGGGTTTACATTTCGTCCATTTGCATGTATAAATGTGGTATTTACAGACCAAAATGACCATGTCCACTATGTCAGGAAAAAAAAGGAAATTCAATATATTCTCAAAAACAGGGTATTTTCTAAAAACTAAGAGATCTATATTAGCGTATTATTTTTCATTGAAAGCTTATAAATGATAAATCGCAGGACAGTGTTGACAATTTTCTGCACTCCTGAATGTTTCTATGTGCACGTAATCTGTACGTTATGTGCAAGCTTGTGTGCGTGTGTGCAGTGTAGCAGCACATTAGTTTAGAGTGGAGATTAGCTACCTGTACAATAAACTGTTTAAAGGGGTCATATGATGAGATTTCATTTTTTCCTTCCTCTTTGGAGTGTTACAAGCTCTTGGTGCATAAAGAAGATCTGTAAATTTGCAAAGACTAAAGTCTCAAATCCAAAGAGATATTCTTTATAAAAGTTAAGAGTCAACCACGCCTACCTAAAACAGCTCGTTCAAACACGCCCCCACATGTCTACCTCACTATGTGGGAAGATTTGCATAACGCCGCCCAAATGTTCATGCAAAGAAAGAAGGCGTAACTTTTATTCTCACTGTAGTATTGCTGCCGCCATGTCCTGAAGACGCTGTGTGTTTCGTTGTGAAAGTGAAACTACTTTGTTTGGCCTTCCAAAAGAGGACGATATCTGCATCGTCATGCCTAGAGCTGATCCGTGCTGGTCGCTGAGGAAATACATCAACTTAGTGCTGTGGATCGCCGGATCGGCTTTCATCGTTTTCACCGCTCCTTCGCCGGGACCGCCATCCTCGACCTCGCAGCCTCAGCTCACTCTTGCCCGGCTTCAGCTCACACTAAGCCGGGGCTTTCGCTCACGCTAGGCCGCTGTGTTTTTTGTTGTGAAAGCGAAACTACTTTGTTTGGTCTTCCAAAAGAGGACGATATCCGCTTCGTCATGCCTAGAGCTGATCTGTGCTGGTCGCTGAGGGTATACTTCAACTTAGTGCTGTGGATCGCTGGCACATTTTATGGAGGACTGTTTACTGATCCTGGGAGCGTAACGTTAGACTAAAATGCCGGCAATTCTGACTCACGTAAGTACGTTTTCTTTTATCATTTGCCACTGATGATTCAAA